AAATGGCACAGCACACAGATGCTGTCTAACACCACCAAACCCCACAGTCTGTCACAAGACAGAAAGTGGAGAAGAATGGTTTCCAGCCCCTGAACATTATTGCACAATAAAACACACACCCTGCTGTGCATTGCTGCTACTACAGCATGGGCTATTAAGCAAGGAACATAACATGGATTTTCAAAATAAATAATTGCATGGAGACAAACAGAAGTCATAATCTTTGTGTCACGTCACCCAGCAGCCTGTTATTCAGATACTTGCCAACACACCTATAAATTACAACTTTTAACAATACTAGTGTTTAAATCTTCTTCCCTGCCAGATTCACAATGGAAATGTGATTTCTGACAGTTCACCCATGCCTGACTTTTCCACAAAACTAATCACAATAATTAACACACACCCCAAGGGAGATATTCTCAAATGTGGAGTCCAAAAAAAATGTGTCAACCTTATTTACTATAAAAATCCTGATGTCAGTACATATTTTTAAAGGGTAAAGTAGAAATTATGTGTGACTGGAATAGTGTGGATGGATAGGTCTTGGGCCCCATCTACACTGCAATGTAAACTCCATATTACCTCCTTTGAACTGAATTATATGGCAGTGTAGACTCATATAATCCAGTTCAAATAAAATAATCCAGATTTTATATGGTTGTGTAGATGGGGCCTGGGTTACTTTCTTCATATCACACCCTCTAAAATGCCCTCTGTGTTATTACAAACACATACAACAGACAGAAATATATGAATATCCCAAGTAATGTTTAGATTGTCTTTGGTAAACATTATCCAATCATTTATCTGTATTCTCCCTGTGTTATTGCTTATCTGACACTGAAATAGTACAATAATACAGCCATGGATAACTGTAATAAAATCTGATGCCGTCTCAAAAAGAACGTTTGCAAAGAGCTACCTGTCTGGTAGTCTGTGGCAAGTATGCTTCCCCTTATACCACCAGGCTAGCTTTTCAGAAACAGTTAAGACATAATGGTTTTCAACTGGTAGCTTTCAAACCATTTCCCAAAAATATACTACAGGTGTCTAAATATTTCTCTTTCTACCCTGCCCTCCACCAGCTGTGTTTAAGAAATCAAATTTGACATCCAATTAATTGATTCTTACATACTTAGCCTTAGCAACAACAACCAGTATTGAAGGGTAAGGGCAGGTGACTTGAAGACACATACACACCAGGAATTGTGACCATGTTAGAATAATAACAGTACTGAACACAAAGAGCTCCCTCCACCCAAAACAGAAACAGCATTTTAAATTACAGAGGGGAAGATTTAGATGAAAAAAAAAAGTAAAACCCTCACACATTGTAAGAAACTGCTCTGAACTGGGGCAAGCTCTCAAAAGTGACAGAACCTCTTCCTGGGAAGAGTTGGGATTTTCTTTTTAAAAGACAAATATGTTTTTGGGAATAATTAGGAGTACATTTCCTGCCCCAGAGGAATGGAATATATAAAAGATCCTTTCCTTTTCAGTTCTGTAGGGCTACTCCATACCTGCGTACATGCTACTAAACTGAATGTATGACCTGATTCCACCAAAAGGGTCTGCATTTCAGTCCATGTTGTGAGCCATTTCTGATCTGGAATGACTCATTTTCAAGTCACGTCCTGGAGTAGTGAAGACGGCATAAGTGAAAGAGCCCTTCCGTTAGTGTTTACTCCAAGCCGTGCACAATGGCTTTCAATTATTTGAGCAAGAGGAGAGCTCAGGCTGCCTGAGCCTCTGAGAGAAACACAAACGTCTATTATTAATTTCTAACCTCATTTTGGGGTTTTAAGAAAATGTTACACTGCCACCAGCCTGTGGGCTGGAATATCCCAATTAACTGCAGCTCATGCTTTAAGAACCAAAAAAAGTACTGGCCTTATTGGGAAAGAAAAGGGCAGAACAGACCTCTGAATACAGTGCCATCCTTTGCAAACCAGAGGCCCCTTACAAACAGCTGCAAAAAACCCACATTGATCTGGATTACATGGCAGTGTGGACTCAGATAAACCAGTTCAAAACAGATATTGTGGGATTTTCTGCCTTGGGTTATATTATCTGTCTTCATATTCTGGGTTATCTGGCTGTATGACAGGGCCCTCAGAAACCACTTTTTCCTCCAATGGCACAGATAACTGGCGCAGAAAAAAACATCCAATCCCCCATTCTTCTTTGCCTCCAAGGCCATGCTAGACAGTCTCCAAGGACTGGAGGGTTTGTACCTCTCAATGTGCGTGACTGAGGTGAGACGCCTCCATTGCGTTTTGTAAATAAACAGAAAATCCTATTTTCTTCAGAGAGGCGAGTGGACCCTTGCAATCCACCTCATACACTTTAGTCTTCTGGGGGCAGTCTTCTCCAACCAGCCAGAACCCAACTGGCAACTGCCACCCAGAGGACTGTGGAATAACCTGCCGGAAGATCTCCTTCAGTTAAATGAACTGTCAAAATTTAAAAACCATGTAAAAAGCTATCTCTTCCGGCAGGCCTACCCAAACAGAATTTAAACATTAATTTTAAGTTTCCTTTGTTTGATCTGTTTTGTGTGCTTTAGTATGTATTTTGTAGAGATATGTTTTGGAGTGTAATTGGTATGGACGTACGTTTTAGTGTGTGTATTTGCAGTATTTTTGCTGTGCTTTTAAACAGAGGCTGGATGGCCATCTGTCAGGGGTGCTTTGAATGCAATATTCATGCTTCTTGGCAGGGGGTTGGACTGGATGGCCCATGAGGTCTCTTCCAACTCTTTGATTCTATGATTATGTATTTTAATTGCTTTGCAACCCACCTCAAGCCACGAGAAGAGGTGGGTAAGAAATATTATTATTATTATACTTGGAAGGCGCTGAACAGACTGCGCTCTGGCACCACGAGATGCAGAGCCAATCTTAAGAAATGGGGCTACAGGGTGGAATCCACGGCATGCGAGTGCGGAAAAGAACAAACCATTGACCACCTGCTGCAATGCACCCTGAGCCCTGCCACATGCACAATGGAGGACCTTCTTGCGGCAACACCAGAGGCACTCCAAGTGGCCAGATACTGGTCAAAGGACATTTAACCAACTACCAAGTTTGCAAAATCTGTGTTGTTTTTTTAATCTCTGTGTTTGTTTTGTTCTGTTAGAAATATAATACAATGGTATGGTTGCTGATGACACGATAAATAAAAATTATTATTATTATTATTATTATTATTATTATTATTATTATTAATATTGCTGCAATGGCTGGGATTATTCACCCAGCATCACAGTCAAGGGGACAAGCTTTCTCTGACAGCCTCATTTGAGGCAGTATGGAGCGACATACAGGGAACACACCACCCCCTTGTTGTGTCAGCTTCACTGGCTACTGATCCACTTCTGAATTCAATTCAAAGTGCTGGCTTTGACCTATAAAACTCTGTATCAGTGGTTCTCAACGTAGGGTCCCCAGATGTTTTTGGCCTACAACTCCCAGAATTCCTAACAGCTGGTAAACTAGCTGGGATTTCTGGGAGTTGTAGGCCAAAAACATCTGGGGACCCCTGGTTGAGAACCACTTCTCGGCTGGCGGGGACGAGAGATAGGGCCTTCTCGGTGGTGGCTCCTCGGCTGTGGAACGCCCTTCCTGCGGACATTAGACTAGCACCATCTCTAATGGTATTCCGCAAAAAGGTGAAGACCTGGATGTTTGTGCAGGCGTTTGAGTAATTTAGTGCAATCTGGTAATGGAACATAGGAATGGAACAATGGATGACGAACCTGGACTACGCTTGGATGATGAGAAGATTGGGTACGGTTGTTTTTTGTAATAATTGTGCATTGTAATTGCTTATTGGTAATTTATGGATAATGTGTTAAGTCAATTGTTATATGTTGTATGGAACCACTGCTGTTTCTACTGTTTTTACTGTTTGTGAACCGCTGTGAGTCGCCTTCGGGCTTGAGATACAGCGGTATATAAGCAAAGTAAGTAAATAAATAAATAAATAAATGGTTCTGGCCCAGCTTACTTGTCGGAGCGCATCTCCCACTACCTTGCAGTTTAGGATTATCCAGGGAAACCCTGCTCTCGCTCCCTCCAGCGTCTGGTGGGAACGAGAGACAGGGCCTTCTCGGCTGTAGCCCCCCCCCCCCCCCCCCCCGCTTCCCAACGAGGTAAGATTGGCTTCATCCCTCCTGTCTTTTAGGAAGAAAATGAAGTCGTGGTTCTGAGACCAGGTTTTTGTACAGCAGGCATATGGAATTGGATTTGGATATAGAATTTGACTGGAATGGTGATCCGGCGGTTAATACTGTTTTTATCGTTTTAATTAATGTTCTATTTATTGCTTTAATTGTTATACTGCTTTGTTATATTTAATGACATCAAATTGTGCCAAATGTAAGCCGTCCTGAGCTGAGAAGGACGGGTTAGAAATGCTGGAAATAAATTAAATAAATAAATATAAGCTTGGCTGCCTTTTTGCTCCTGAAAGGCATTAGGAGGAAAGCCTGATAAGCACTGGGAGGAAAGGCGGGGGTCCAATTCACCACGTAGGTTCTCCTCTCCAGCCCCCCTCCCTTCCTCCCTATAAGGGACGCCTGCATGCAAACTGCCTGCATTGTTTACCTTCCCAGGCCAAACACAGCAGTGCTATATGAATGTCTCACCCCCCCCCCCCCCCCCCCAAGATACAAATGGTGTAATTCAGGCCATTGAGATTGACGACGTAACACCAAGGGAGGGGGCAATGTAACAGGGAAATAGAAAACATCCACAGCATAGGAGAAGCCCCCCCATGGCCCCTCCCCCTCCCTTTCCGGATCAGGAAAGCTGCAGCGCCCTGCTTGAGGGCTCAGCCAGGAAGGCTGCTGCTGCTGCTGCTCCCCTCGGGAAGAAGGCCTTGCGAGACCTGGCCTCGGCTCCCCTCAGCAACAGACCCCCCCCCCCACCCCCGTTACACACACACACACACACACACAGCCCAGCGCCTCCCCTCCGTCCCCCCTTCCCGCTCACCTTCGCCAGTAGCGGGCCTGGCCCCCCGGCAGGGTTAGCCTTCCTGCCTTTCTTCCTGCTTTCCTTCCTTCCTTCCCTCTCAGGCTCCGCTTTGGTGAGGGCGGTGGGCGCGCGACTGACTGACTGACTGGCTGACTGAAGAGGTGGACGGCTGGCAGGCGGGCTCTGAGGGAATCAATAGCGGGAGGCGGGAGGCAGGAGCCGCTCGCGGCGCGACCTGAGCAGAAGCTGAGCCTTCCGGAGCCAAGCCCCGCCCCCTCCCCGCCGAGGAGAAGCCACGCCCCCCTCGCGTGCGAGAGGCCCCGCCCACAACCGTTGACAGGAACCCTCCCTCCGCCCTCTTTGCCAAAATGAAAGGCGCACAACCCCAACCCCAACCCCCCCCCCCCTGGATTTGAGCGAAGTGGTAGAATCCTAAGGAGGAGGCACTGGACTGTACCACGGGGAGAGGGGAGGGGAATCAAGATTTGGGCGCCACCAATAAAAGGAGGCAGCCTGGACTGGGCTACGTTGCTGTGAGCTTTTTGGGCTGTATGACAATGGCTCCCAAAGTGACCCATTTAAAGTGGAATCCGGTGTCAAACAGGGATGTGTTATTGCCCCAACTTTATTCTCCATCTTCATCGCTATGATACTTCACCTTGTTGATGGGAAGCTTCCCACCGGAGTGGAAATCATCTATCGGACAGATGGCAAGCTATTCAACCTCAGCAGACTGAAAGCCAAAACCAAGGTTACAACAACATCTGTTATAGAACTCCAGTATGCTGATGACAACGTCGTCTGTGCGCATTCAGAAGACTACAAGCCACTCTAAACACCTTCGCAGAAGCATACGAGAAGCTCGGCCTGTCACTGAACATAGAGAAAACCAAAGTGCTGTTCCAGCAGTCACCAGCCAATCCCTCTCCAATGCCAGTAATACAGCTTAATGGTGTAGCATTAGAAAATGTGGACCATTTCCGCTATCTTGGCAGCCACCTCTCCACCAAAGTCAACATCGACGCCGAAATACAACACCGCCTGAGCTCTGCAAGTGCAGCATTTTCCGAATGAAGCAGAGAGTGTTTGAGGACTGGGACATCCGTAGGGATACCAAGGTGCTTGTCTATAAAGCTATTGTCCTCCCAACCCTGCTCTATGCCTGTGAGACGTGGACTGTCTACAGACGTCACATGCAACTCCTGGAACGATTCCATCAGCGCTGCCTCCGGAAAATCCTGCAAATCTCTTGGGAAGACAAGCGGACAAACGTCAGCGTGCTGGAAGAAGCAAAGACCACCAGCATTGAAGCGATGGTCCTCCAACATCAACTCCGCTGGACAGGCCACATTGTCCGGATGCCTGACCACCGTCTCCCAAAGCAGTTGCTCTACTCCGAACTCAAGAACGGAAAACGGAATGTTGGTGGGACAGGAAAAGAGATTTAAAGATGGGCTCAAAGCCAACCTTAAAAACTCTGGCATAGACACTGAGAACGGGAAGCCCTGGCCCTTGACCGCTCCTGCTGGAGGTCAGCTGTAACCTGCAGTGCTGCAGAATTTGAAGAGGCATGAATGGAGGGAGGGTGAAAGAGAGAAACATCAGGAGGAAGGCGCGTCAAGCCAACCCCAACCGGGACCGCCTTCCACCTGGAAACCAATGCCCTCACTGCGGAAGAAGATGCAGAACAAGAATAGGGCTCCACAGCCACATACGGACCCACAAGGAAATCCATAATGGAAGACCATCTTACTCGTCCAACGAGGGATCGCCTAAGTCTAAAGTGTATGACTATGTTTACAGTAGCATTCTCTCCTGACGTTTCGCCTGTATCTATGGCAGGCATCCACATATGTAACATATGTTGTATGTTATATGTTGTATGTACTTATAATATGTGTGTATAACATATGTATGATATATATTGTATATACGTATCTATATAAATAAAAATGTAATGTCAAAAATAGTGTCACCTTCAAAATATTATTTTTGAAGGATAAAAGGGGTATTTATTGATGATGACCGTTCTCTGACCTACAAGAAGCACTGCCTGAACATCAAGTAAAAAGTGGGTGCTAGAAACAATATCTGTACAAGGACCAAGGAGCAACAGTAAGAACTGACCACGGAACAAGAGACTGGTTCAAGATTGGGAAAGGCGTACAGCAAGGCTGCATACTCTCACCCAACCTTTTTAACTTGTATGCAGAACACATCATGCGATGCGCGGGGCTGGATGAATGCAAAGCTGGGGTGAAAATTGCTGGAAGAAACATTAACAACCTCAGATATGCAGATGACACCACTCTGATGGCCGAAAGCGAGGAGGAGCTGAGGAGCCTTCTAATCAAGGTGAAAGAAGAAAGCGCAAAAGCTGGGTTGCAGCTAAACATCAAAAAAAACCACGATTATGGCAACAAGAATGATTGACAACTGGAAAATAGAGGGAGAAAGTATGGAGGCCGTGACAGACTTTGTATTTCTAGGTGCAAAGATTACTGCAGATGCAGACTGTGGCCAGGAAATCAGAAGACGCTTACTTCTTGGGAGGAGAGCAATGTCCAGTCTCGATAAAATAGGAAAGAGTAGAGACATCAGACTGGCAACAAAGATCCGCCTAGTCAAAGCCATGGTATTCCCTGTAGTAACCTACGGATGTGAGAGCTGGACCTTAGGGAAGGCTGAGCGAAGGAAGAGCGATGCTTTTGAGCTGTGGTGTTGGAGGAAAGTGCTGAGAGTGCCTTGGACTGCGAGAAGATCCAACCAGTCCATCCTCCAGGAAATAAAGCTGCTCACTGGAGGGAAGGATACTAGAGACAAAGTTGAAGTACTTTGGCCACATCATGAGGAGACAGCAAAGCCTAGAGAAGACAATTATGCTGGGGAAAGTGGAAGGTAAAAGGAAGAGGGGCCGACCAAGGGCAAGATGGATGGATGGCATACTTGAAGTGACTGGACTGACCTTGAAGGAGCTGGGGGTGGTGACGGCCGACAGGGAGCTCTGGCGTGGGCTGGTCCATGAGGTCACGAAGAGTCGGAGACGACTGAACGAATGAACAACAACATACATATCTATATAAATAAAAATGTAATGTCAAAAATAGTGTCACCTTCAAAATATTATTTTTGAAGGATAAAAGGGGTATTTATTGATGATGAAGATTTTCCCGATTTCTTGTGTGAAAAGTGTTGGAATATAATACTAATAATAATATATTATAATTATATATTTTATATTGCATGTAATATTACTAATAATATTCCAATATAATCTTATAGTTCAATATCTATATATATAAAATCCGAAGTGGCGTCGTATGAGGAAGCAAAACTCAAAAACCCCCCAACAGAAATTAACCAAAATTCCCATGCACATACCTCAACCCACTAGGTACAAACAAATTTGATGGCGAGAGCCCCCGCCATGTAATTGGTCTGCATTGCGGCAGGGAGTTCCGCAGTTCCCAGTGGTCACCAAGGGAGAAAACGGATGAAATGTGCCCCAGCCAGCAGCTCAAAGCCAAGGACTGCATGAAGCCTTTCTTTCACTTTCCCCTCTCTTTGTAACAAACCCCTCAATAAAACACTTAAGTTTTGAAACTTTAAATCCTTTCCGCTTGATACTTTGTGTCCTTTTCCTGACTGCAACTTTTCTAACTCACAATAAACCTTTTTCTGAGCTCCGGAGAACCGTGAGCTCACTGGGGACGCCTTCCTGGCCTCCCCAGGCCTCCGAATTTGCGTTAGTTCAAATCGTGGATACGGAGATTTTCCTATTGGCCCCCCTTATCCGCCAAAACAACAACATGGCGGATCGGGCCCGTTCAAATTTTATATTTTTCTACACTAAATTCTAAGACTAACTGCTATCTTGGTTTTCTCATTTTGGACTCCTGCACTCGTGAAATAATTGTTTTTGTTTAATCATTAAATTCGGCCGAGACACCAGCTGATCGTCAAAATTCGCCGGCTTTGGCCGCTTGTTTCACTCCCTTCGTCGCTGCTCGCTCCAGCGTGGCTCCCGCCGCCTGCAATCAACCCCGACTGCCCAAGAGGAAGCCTTGGAAGTGGGGACCGGGCAGGGAAGGCCCGATCCCCGGTTGGGAGCGCTAGTTCCACCAAGGACAGGACAGCGGAACGTAGCTCCCCCTTAGCTCCAGCTCCTGTTTCAATAATGAACTGATCTTCTGATGGCCAGCCTAAGCCATAGGCTGGCCCCTGCCTCCAGAAACCCCTCCGTCTAGGCTTTTGGGATTTCTAGACTTTCTTTACCTTTTTATGAAATGAAATAAAAATAAAATACTTTCCTATGGATGGGGATTGGGATGGGTGGTGGGTTGTGGTGTATGAAATGCCTGTATATTAGTGATGCCTGTACCTTATGAATATGAAATATGTACCCCTATGAACTCCACTGTATCTTTTCCTCTTTGTCCCCTTGCCCCACAAAGAAGACCAGCGTGACCAGGAACTGCCTGGGGGGAAAGCCCAAGCCTTTTCCCCCTAAATCACCCTTGATTGACTCATTTTGCATGGACAATGCTGCTGGCCCCCCAATTTCGTCTTCGGAGCAGGGCCAACGAAGGAGGTCAGGGTCAGCAGAGCCTCGGAATAAAAGACTGATTGATTCACTCAGGAATTGTTGATCCTCCGGGTGGTCCGATTTCGACCCAGCTATTCATATCACTTGCCAGACCCATTAAGGACAGGAAAGCCTTTGTTTGACAAACATCACCTGGGACAATGGCCCGCATTCCAGCGGGCAGGAAATCCCAAATCCCATCATCTCTCCCCCCATTGACCACGGCTGTCACGCCTCCTCGCTCCTGATTGGCCAGAGCCCGGGAAGCGAGCAGAGGGCGCCCATTGGCCCTCCCCAGGCGAAGAAACGCTCCCATTGACTCCTGACGGAGGAGGGCGGGACTACCTCCTCCCAGCTGTTCCAGCCTCAGCCAATCAGCAGGAAGCCGGCTGACAGGGGGGCGGGCGGGATTTTCAAACTGCTTTTCTTTGTTCCTCACTGTATAAAAGTGCCTGTAAATTCTTGTGCTGCATGCTTACAGTGGAATGATTCCTGTAATGCATCCTTTTCAGCTGAATCGCAAATAAACCTCGATCGCTGGACTTCTTCCGCCTCTGATGAGCTTATTAATTCTTTTAAATATTTCTGCGCTCTTGGATTGGCTTCCAGAAAGCTCACCAAGGTATCCAGGACTCTTTGATGCGGTCCTTGGGCTCTCCTCCCTGGAGAGGCCCCCTAAAAGAGCTCGATAACAAA